CTCTGTGTGCTCGGTCCAGCACGGCCTCGTCGCCGGCCCTGGGACCTGAGACGTGTTGTAAGCCAGGTCCTCGGAGCCAGGTGGCCGCTGCCCCCCCTGCCCGCGGACGCGTTCGCCGCGGGGACGAGCTGTCACTCGTGCGCCGTGTCCCCGCCCTGTCCCATCTCTTGTTCACGCCCGTTTGGCGATGCTGCTCGTGGGGCAGAGAGCTTAAAGCTGCCTGCTCGGTCCAGCGCGGCCTCGTCGCCGGCCCTGGGACCTGAGACGCGTTGTAAGCCAGGTCCTCGGAGCCAGGTGGCCGCTGCCCCCTCTGCCCGCGGACGCGTTCGCCGCGGGGATGAGCCGTCACTCGCATGTGCCGTGGGCTCCGCCACCCCCGTGCGGCAGAACGGGGACGCGCTCACACCGGCCTCGCCGCCGGACTCGCTGTCTGTGCCCGTTTGTCCCTTTTCTCCTCCACCTCGACATCCCTAAACTGAAGAGGCTGGTGCCGAGCCACCGGCCACCCAGGCTGCGGGGCGGCCCCAGGCCCCTGCAGGGTGCGGGTCACAGGGTGGCGGGGGCTGTGGACGAGCCACCCGCAGAGGGGGAGGTTTGCCCACTTGCCGCGGCCCAGGGACAGGGGCCTGCGCTCCCAGCGCTCTGGGCCTGGCCAGCTGTGAGCTCACTGACCGCTGTGCGTTTCTGCCCAAGATCTACGTGCAGCTGAAGGAGGGTGCGGCCGCGGATGGGCTGGACGCGCTGCGGAGCAAGCCCCAGCTGCACAGCGCCGTGGCCCGGAGCCTGTGCCGGGGCGCGGCCGGCCGAAACTACATCATCTTCACGGGGCCGAGCATCACCAGCCTGGCCCTGTTCGAAGAGTTCGAAAAGCAAGGTAGGTCGGGGCCGGTCCGGGTGTGGCCCCCGCACCGTGCGTGGAGGGGTCGGGTGGGCCCATGGGAGGGGTTCGGCCACAGCCTGTCGCCACCGCTGCCAGGTCCTCGGGCTCGATTCTTCGTGGCCTTCGAGGTGAGGCCGCTGACGGAGCTCGCTAGTGGTCCAGCCGCTCGGGCTGCGGCCACGCTGGGCAGGTGACAAACTTCAGGAGTTTGTTGCTCACGGACCCGCGGCCTGGGGCCCGAGGCCAGGGCGCCTCCTGGTTCTCACTCGGCGAGGGGCGAGGGCTCTGTGGGGCCTCTCACGGGGCACCGATGCCCTCGTGCGGGGCCCGCCGTCCTGACCTCAAGCCCTGTTTAATGTCCTCATACCTCCCTGGGCATCAGGTTCTCGACATAGGAGTTTGGAGGTCACGAGCTCAGCCACTGGCCCCTCGGCTCAGTGCCCCATCCGTGTGGGTCCCTCCCGGCCGCAGACGGGGCCCGTGGGGGTCCGCCCACCCGGCAGCAGCACCACGGGCCTGGGCAAGGTCTTCCCCCAGTGCCGAGATGTTCGCTTCATGGTGGCAGAGGCGGCAAGCCCCTCGGGGCCCCGACGGGAATAGGGGGTATGGTGAGGGGGTCCAGTGGCGGCATCGCCCCCTCTGCCCTGCACACTGGGCTTCTGTCTAGTCGCTCGGGAGAGACACAAAGAGCCCACTCGGCTGCTGCAGGAGCCGCCAGATTGCAGGCCTGCTTAGCAACGGACAGGCGTCTGAGTGACGGGGGGTGACAGCTGCGACCTGCGGCCTCGGCAGCTGCCGAGGGGAGTGGCTGGGCTCTGTGCCCTGGCCGCCGGGGCTGCGTCCTGCTCGTCCGTGAAGTTAGGGCCAGAGGGCTCAGCGCCCACTGCTGAGGGACCTCAGTGTGCAGAGGCCACGCTGTGTGGACAGGACGCGGGTTGGTTTGGAGGACAGTGTCCCTGAGACATGATGAGGACCACCCCGGGAGTCACAGATGGGCCAGTGAGACCGTCCCTGCGTCTCTGGTTGGAAGTGCCACTCCCATGGCCTCCACGTGTCCCCGGGGACAGAGGACCTGGAGCCCAGGGCGGATTCAGAGGCCTCCTGTCCCCACTGGCCTCTGCCCACGGTCTGCCCCACGGACACTTCTGGGGCGTGCAAGCCACGCTGGTGTCCTGCCTCACGACCCTCCTCGTTCTGCTCACGGCGCTTCCTGCTCCCTGGGGGGTCCCCGGCCCCGTGCACAGCGCTTGGTGGCTTCCCCCCGAGTGTGGCCAGGACAGGGCTGGGCCGCTGCCGGCAGGTCTTGGCGAGAGTGTGGGGCGACCTGGCTGGTCGGGTTTGGACTCTAGTCAGACCTGCGCCGTGAGCCCAGGACCTGTCGCAGCCAGTTCCCCTCCTCCAATGTGGGTGTGATGGGGTGCAGAAGTTTCTAGAAGCAGATGGGTCCAGCGGTTTAGTTAGGGCTCTGGCGGTGGGCTCTGTTGTCACTTTCTCAGTGTGTCCTACACTGAGGCCTCACGTGACATTTTGGGCGAGCTCGTGAAGTGCCGGAGCAAAGTCCAGCCCCGGCCCGGATTGGTCTCCCCAGGCCCCGGCCTCGGGTGGGCGGGGCGGCCTTTCCCCGCGCATGCGCGGCGGCCGCGATGACCGCTGCGCCCGCGATGA